TGGGCAGATGAAGTAAATGACAGCTAATCAAATAACACAAATGTTCGATCGGTTTAAAATCTGGGGGCCTCGGTGGCCCATGCAGCATTTCAGTACCTTGTAGAGCCTGTTTACTGATGATTGCTATGTGCGATCGGACTTTACTTGCTGAAAAACTGCATTTCATAACCGTTAAATGTATGCTGCGGAACGTCAGCGTTGAGCCACAGGCTGCAGAATGTCATTCATGTATCATCTTGCCATCATTGTACTGCAGTGGTTGAAGTCGGTGATTCTGTAATTGCGGAGGTCTTCTTAAAGGCATCACTGCTGCGAGCCACTTTAAACCAGTTGTCTAGAAATTGTTCTTGACGATAACCGAAGCACACAAAACTACTTGCATATTCTACATAATGCTGATACTCATGCTTTGCAGGGCCACCACCGCACGCCTTCGGATGCATCATTCCAAGCGTGCTGATGTCAGCCTAGAGCCCAGACACATCAGGACCCTTGGCACTATTCATACTTCCTTTTTCAACCCATTTTCTCAAATCTTTTAAGTAGTGGATCATATCGATGCGTTTCAGCTGCGAACGAAGGGAGAATCAACTAGTCTTTTGCGGGACTAAAGCGAAACCCCTCGTTAAAACGTTTGTTAACTGAAAAATCGCGAAAAATATGATACCGTATCCCATCTTCTGCTCAACTAGCTTCTGAGACGAAAAATAGTGCGTAAAACGATTTTTCCATGCGACAGAAGTTGCTAACTGTTGACTCCTCTAACTTTCCTTCTGCTTTACCTCGCTAACTTATTACATGCCAAATTTTCATTTTACACATAAATCGTACAGCTGAGGATTCCTTGCAATTTGTATACAATTGTACAACTAAATCTTCATGGTGCTGCATTTTTTCTGCCAGGTATTTTGTAAATGAGCAGTATTCGCTGATTTTGATTGGTAATTTTAGGATCTATTTGTTGCATTTACATTGCATAGCACTAATGAATTAAAACGCATCACGAAATTTGAAAACAGAATGATGATGACTAAAGATTCTCACATATGAGTAGCTACTATAACAAACTTAGGAAACTGCTAAGTACATGCTACGTAATGCGTAATAAATATCACTGTAAAGTGTAAAACCTGGTCTAATTTTCTGAATTTAAAACTCTAGAGGTTCTGGCTTACATTTTATGCATTTTTCAGAATAAAAGATAAATCTTACCGTATCCTCGTATAATAGGTAAGGTAAATGAAACCGTAAGATAAATGAAACCAAATCAAGCATAAATTAAATAAAATTTTACCAACATAAATGAAAGGCATGATTTTGTATGATTCTGATGGAAATGGCTGGCTAAAATGTAATATAATCAAATGAATACTTAAACCCTTGTTTTAAAAATGTTCTGGCAATAATTTTTTTTAGCATTTCTCTAATTTCTCCCGAGCACTCTCTCGCTCACCCCAAAACCACTATCGCCCACGATGGATTTAGAGAAATTGCGAGTGGATTTCTAGGCATTCATCACAGTATTCATGGCAGAATTTGTCTGAAATAAAAGAAAATTATACATCCTATTAATAAATTCATCTTGCTTGTCAATCTGAGTTCGGGTAGTCCGGAATAATCAGTCGGTAAGGATAGGAATATCCGAATGTAGCATTGCATGCACTGCAGACACCTTTACTTCAGTATATGTAATTTATAAAGAAGATTATATTGTAGTCTGCCATATAATTCATATCAAACTTCTATTTCAACAATGTCTAAAAAGAAAAACTTTTACGGTCACTATGTAACTGTAACAGTAATTACGATGTTTATAAGATTCTATTCATTTCATTTCAACTTGTATTTTGAAACGTATGCAGGAATAAAAGCATTAATATTCATTGACTTTAAGCTAATAAAAAATAGTAAGAATATAAAGATCTGTATATGGAAAATAATCAAGGAGGAATTGATTACTACCTTTATTTTGATTTATGAAGTTTTATCATTTATATTTTTCTTTTTACTTAGTAGAACTAAAAATATATTCATTTGTTTTTGCATCCAGTTTTATTAAACAACTATCCCTTTCATACTGGAAAAAAATGCAATAATTCAGAAGAGAAGAAAGTGCAACTTGAATCTTTGTAAAAGAAGTTTGACTTTTAATCCTCATTGATGAGTAGAAATTGCGAAAGTGAAATAAATGAAGAAATCTAAAGATTTACAACTTCAGAAGAAAGACTGGAAATGAAAACAGAATAGGAAGAAAATATTAATCGGAGTTTCTTGTATGAAATAAAAAGAAAATATAATACATGTTTTTTTTACTTAAGTATCAAAACAAAATACGTAATTCAGATTACCTATTTTTAATGCGATTAGATGGGATATTGATTGTCAAATTCCACAGAAAAAAAAAAAAAAAAAAAATATTGTGTCATTTTAAAATCTTTTTTCGCAAATAAATAAAATTATTTTAAAATATAAAGGCGATTTTATCAAAAGATTTCGTACATGTACGCTGTAATTTTATTTAAGCAAATTTCCTAGCCCCTCTCCCCTTTTTAATTCTTATTCACTTTAGAAAGGATTCTTCAATTTTCATCTTTTGGGGGCGAGGTTATAAACGTAGTTTTGCCATTAATAGACTTTTTTTTCGTTAAATTAGAGTATTTTGTTATGTAGTGTTGTTATAATTAAAATAGAAACTCAACACATTAAGATGGTTATGGAGAATGGATTATGATATCTATGCAATAAAATTTATCAAGCTAATCAATGAAGCTTAAGAACATTTGACAGAAATCCAAAGAGACAAAAAAAGATAAACTCTTTTAAAACAGCCGAAGCTCTTTTAAAACATTGCGACATCATCTATGAGAGATGACGATGGACTACGTGCTTCTTATAACATTACTAATTACCTCACACCACTAATGAACTTATACCAACTGTAAATGAAGTAATAAACACCGGGCTGCTTAAATAATTTTGATACTATAAGAATAATTCCACTGAGTAATAATACAATACAAAGAAGGACTGGCGAAATGGCTCAGTGCGTAAAAAATAAAAACATTTCAATTCCCTATACAGCTTGACGAGTCAACTTTGCCAGGAAACGAAGCTGTACTTTTAGTTTATGTCAGATTTGTAAAATAAGGAAAAATTTCCCAAGAATTGTTATCTATCAAATGTTTAGGAACTAATATAAAAGGTGAAACAAAACTCAATGAATTGAAAAGATCTTGCGATGTAAAAGCTATACCCTTAAGTAATATCCTCTCCATTGCATCCGACAATGCACCAGCAATGGTAGGAAGAGACCAAGGCTTGCTGGCATATTTTCGCCAAAAATCTTAGTTAACACTTAATGCAGGGTTTACTAATTTATTTCATTAGAGTAGTTAATGAAATGTAGTCATTAGAGTAATTAATGTTTGGATTGATTTATGTACTCTTTGATTCAATGTTGCGATTGATGAAATGAAGAATAATGATTTGCTACCCAGTTTAATGAATTCAAAAATATGACATAGCTAATATGACTGACTGATTTTTAGCGAATCCAGTTTGTTGCTATAAGGTGATTAATTAAACTTAATCAAAACTAAATAATACTTCCTGTTTAGTAGGACGTCAATTTAGTGCAGCATTAAGCCTCATGACAAGATGGAGCCGCTTAGACGGTATAGTGGTTAGGGAAGCCTACTGGAATATCGAAGGGCCCAGGTTCGAAACTCCGAGAAGGCATAGATGTTTGTAAATGTGTCTGAGTGGCATGAGAGTACTCTAAATAAGCGGTGAGCCGAAAGTCCTCTCATGAGGTTGATGGTAGGGGAAGAGGGGTAGGAGACGTTTGGACCCGTCCTCCCCACAGTGTTGTCCTTCAAAATTGGGGGTCGAAAATGAGCGAAGTCGTACTGTCACCTGTATGGTGCTCAAGGCTTTGCTAACGACAGGGCAATCTTGCTCTCCTTGCCAGGATGAATTTCGTTGGCTTGTTCTGATGTCATTGTCAGGCAAGTGAGATAAAACACACAACACACAAAATGGAGACTTACGAATGTTACTCACAAGCTTAGAGCCGAATATAAATAATCTCATATCATCCCATCACGTTCGTCCATCACATTAAGGGGGGGGGGAAATGTGTTCTTGCATTTTAAAACAAAAGTGTAATTTCAATAAATATTACAGGAAATATTAGAATGCTTCATTTATATTTTATTTTTTCGCCACCATTTACCATTCAAGACATCAAAGTTAAATTTGCAATTTTTCTACTATGCACTGATATAGAGCTATTTCACTTGAAGTTTCATGGTCAGTTTTTTGTCGTAGGAAGGAGTCCATACGCATTGTAAGTTTGAGAACTACTGTCCCAGACACATTCCTTGTGATATGTGAAAACAGGGTTATGATCTAAACTGGTTCGTATTTGCTTTCAATTAAAATGACCAACTAATGTACTATCTATGTTCTGTCAAGCATTCAACCCTTGTTTTCAATTGCTAATGATCTGTCTCGAATAACTTTTTTCATGTGTTATTAATGATCATCCGGATACTTGGAAACTTGTGACACTTGTAAATGCAAACACTGATTAGCTGAGTGCGTCCACGCCACATGCACTTTTTTTTTCCTTTTGTCCTTTCCCCCCCCCCTCTTCTCCTTTTCACCTTTCTGAATCATATTAATTCAGTTATTGAAGTCACTACTAACGCTCAAAATAATAACTAAAGTAACAATAAATTTTTTCCCACCTCATTTCCATTTTCCATTTAACGTGATATTTTTTTTTTTTTTTTTTTTTTTCTAGAAATTCTGTCTGGTTTACAAAAAAATAAATAAATAAATAAAAACCAGAAAACATTGCTTGGTTTGCTTATGTGACAAGCACTTTTTTTTTATTTACCAAATGTCAGCCTGTTGATCACTAGGTCATTAGGATACGTGTTCGCCAATATTTTTCCATAAGAAATTTTAAATGAGATAATGCGGAGCATTCGTCAATGAGAGCAGCCATAACTATTCTCATTGCATTTCCCAAATTTCACGAGCCTTGGATTAGTTCTTCCAGGGGCCTTGTTTACACTCCTGAAGTGTGTATAATGCAAGTGTATTTACTGATGTCTTGTTTAAAAAAAACAATTATTTATATTTAGTCACCAACTTCTGTGCAGTTAAATCACGTATAATGCGTAACAAATATTTCTGTCGAAAATAAATACTACAGTTATACTAATGAATACGGAAGTTACAAAGGTGTAAGGTAGAATATTCAATGTAAAACATTTCGAATTTCCTTTTCCCATAACAGGTATTCTTTTAATCACATTTTGCAATGCCAGTTTCAGAAATATAAAACTGCATATTTCTCAGAATGACTATTCTAAAGATTGATTTCTGATTCGTAATCTTGTTATACTTCACAAGATATTTCTTTCTTGCAACAATTTTATGATGGCTCAATGATTCTTTACTCTAAGGTCTTGTTTAAGCAAGAAAACATAAAATTTGTGCAAATTTGTGCGTTTTGATCCAACATACAAGAACATCAAACTATTTTCAAAGGAACTCCAAGACAACTCATTTGTTATATGCCAGACAGAACAACTTTTATATAAAAAATGCATTGGCGTTCTTTGGTAGGGAAACGAGACACCACTTTCTGGAAATATTTCTATAAAAATATTTTCTCATGGAAATGCTTAGAATTTATATTAATAACAATGCAATAATTATTTGTGATTAAAAAATGTTCTGTAAATCGGTAGAGACTTTATAACCTCCTTGACTCTTTCTTAATTGTCCAAAAGCGATGGAAGCTTATTAAAAATTATATTCTCCTCCACATCGCTTTCGGAAACGTTTTGTAATGCCACGCTTTTGTAACAATAAACCGCCTTAGAAGATTTGAGTTGAGTTGCAAAATCGCTGGTTCGTTAAATGGACTGGATGGAAAGCAACAAAGAATCAAAAAAGTGTTTCGAGTAACTTAATACTCTCTTTACAGATAGAAGCTTGTTTTTTAGATCCTTTCTACGGAAAAGATTGCCGTATTCGAAGAGGTAGAAGAAAGCACGTTAAGAATTTTCTTACCTGTTTTTCCTTTTAAAGGGATTTAGCTCATGATTTCACGGCGGAATGAAATGCTAAAGTAATAAGGCGAATTCTAGCTAAAAATTATTTTTATGCAAAGACGAAGCGGAGTAATGTAATATTTTAAAAGGAATTTCTAATTAAACTTGAAGAAGTTCGTAGTAAATCTTGGAAAAAGTGAAATCTTCAGGGGATGAAATCCATTAACATTAATTGAAGAAGGCTTAGTTAGCATATTTTTTTTTGAAGCCAAGTGCATAAGTGGTTACCAGGACTCAAAATTTTGTAGTAACTTGTTCTTTGGAAATATTTGTTATGTCATATTGGAACTCGTACAGTTATTTTTATGTCAACGCATTTCCAGGAAAATAGCTATTATTAATGCATTCATTGACGATTGTTGTTAAATCGAAAAGCTCCAAAAAGATATTCAAATGTTTACACACACACACATAGACACGCACTCACAATAAAAATTACACACACTCGTATGTAGTAAGTAATCGATAGGAATATAAATAATATTAATAATGACTATATATATTGCATAAAAATTGTTTCCCTTTTTGTATATAATTAAAGCGTCTTTCATTATTTATGCATTAAAATTTTCTGGCAACATATTATGAGTTAAAAGTTTCTTGGACTGTTAAACCTCCAACATTGTAGTATGTACGAAGTTAAATCTTTATTTTATATTCATCCCTTTATTTTTACCTTAAAACTGAATTATCTAGATAAAAAATTGCAATGTCCACTAGTGGCTGAATAAATTGCAATTCAACCCGAGTTGGCATCCCGGCGAACGGGTTGGTTGCATGAGTGTTTTCTTGAGATTTTCTGAAGGGTAATGTAAACACGAGCTAGTTCACTTAGAAAGTCATCCATGAAATCGTTAGGCAACCTGTCTGCCATATCGAACCTTAAGCCGGTTGCCTTCACATGCCTTGTGATATTCAGTTTGTAGAAACATTAGGTATTTTTTGGAAGCAGGCAAGAGGAAAAATTAGCAACGCTTTCGCCGGGAATCGAACCACGGACCTCTGCAATTACGGCCCAGCGTACAAAACACCACACTACGAAGGTGGGAGAAATACCTTATATACTACCCCTTTTAAACGGCGATTGTTTTTTTTTTAGAGGACTCAATCGCCAAATCCTGGGTGTGGAGAATCATCATCCAACACCCTTTTAGATGGGCGCCACTGTAGAGACATTAGGATTTTTGCAAGCTGGAGAGATTGAAAAATGAGTAACGTCTTCGCTGGGAATCGAACCACGGACCTCTGGAATACCGGTCCAGCGTACAAAACCACTACACCCCGAGGGCACGCCAAGAAGGTGGGAGCAATACCTTATAAGTTAAATAAACAAGAGCGAATTTTAATTTCTCTCAGAAACTGATAATTATTATGTCAGTTTGAAGAATGCATGAAATGGATGAATTTTGCATAATGTCGGAAAAATATACAGTTTAAATTTTTTTGTAAAATTTAAACTGTATATTTTTCCGACATAAAAAAAAAAAAAAGTTTGCTAATACGTAGTGCTTATGTTATAAATCGCATTTTGCCTTGTTAATGCCATAAAAGAACCTCGGTTTATTTTCATCAAAATCGCTATAAAAAGAACCTTTTGTTGCATTTCTCAAAATATTCACAACATTTATTTTCGAAAATAATGGCATCTATCGGCAGTCAAGAGATAATCATTTGTGATTTATTGCTTATCGCATAAGACAAAGTTTGCTTCCAAACATTTCCTCTTCGTTAAGCTTTTTTTTTTTTTTTTTTGCTTGCATTAGACGATATACAGCAATACTGGGAAATCATGTTTGAAAATCGTGCAGGAACTTTAAACTTATGATATTTTATAGGTAACGTTTAATTTGATGACATTTTAATATGCATAAGAGTTGGAAAACAGCACTTAATGTGTTAATTTGCAAATAAATTTAAACGAGAATATCTTACTGAAAGCCACTTCACGTGATAAAATTATTAATTTAAAATTTCAGGTTGCTGCAAGGTGTTAAAATCATGTTTGAAGTATAATTATATTTTTTATTCATTTCTCTTCTTCATATTTTAAATGTTGGATAAAAAGCGTTGTGAGTAAATTAATAAAAACATGAAATTAATTATTTCCTTACTTAAAAATTATTAACTGGAAATTCTAGTGGTTATTTTTTTCTATGCATGATTCTGTTGCGCTTCGAATTCTTATTATGTTTTAATAATCTTGGAAGCGAGGCAATATTTTTACAGAAATGCATCAGTTTCGCTGCAGTGAAAAAGTCATCTCATGATTAGTTTCTGATAGCTTTAAAACATACATGTTTTAATTTGCTTCTTCATTTATATCTTTCATTGCACGTTTTATATCTGTTTTCTTTCTGTGTAATCATTTTCAGTATTCAATGTTTATTCCATTATTTATTTATTTATTTATTTATTTGCAGGTTGCCTCTTTAGCCCGATACTTTGTGAAAGAGATGAAGAATGTTACGATGGTAAGATATTAATACTTATACTTAATATTTTAATTTGTATAACCACTTAACAAATATTTTTATATAAATTACAATATATTATTAACATCTGTATGCATGTATGTGCCTTGCATTGTGAAAACCGACAGTACTTCGAGCCATCAAATTTTTTGCAACGTAGCTCTCTACTCAAACATGTCTAAGCACGAATTTTGAATTTCGAATTTGTTTTATTATTCTTTAGCCTAAATTGGTGTTAGTCCTGAAGGGCTATTAGTCTCGAAATGGCATTTTGCTTCGAATCACTTTAAATATCTGAATCATTTTTCAAACTGTTGCCACCAAATTTTATCGCCCTATATTATATTAAAAAAAACTAAATAATGAAGAAGCAACATGAATGTATGTTTCTCGCATTGTGGAAAAACAACGGTACCTTGATTCATTAAATTTTGAATAATATAATCCTGCACTCGAATATGGGCACCTGGAAGCCCAAGTATGGAATTGTTTTATTATCCATTTCATATTTCGTAAAACGTTAACTAATTTTTTATTAAAGAACTCAACAATCTCCAAGCGGGCAGTGGCAATACTGTAAGGAATAAAACATTTTTATCTCCAGCATGCGAGACGGTTAGGCGGAAATTCTAAAAGATGCTGTTTTTAAATAATTTTAGCCCAATTTCAGATTATTTCATATTTTGTAAAACTTCAATGAATTTTTGATTAACAAGTTCGACCGTTTTAAAGCGAGAAATGGCAACACTATTCGAAATAAAAACACTTTTATCTCCAGCGCTCGAAACTGTTGCCATTCGGAAAGATGTAAAATATTTATCTTTCAGTTTAAATTAAAAAACTCGGCTGGTACACTAACTGGACTCATTAAAATTATTATTTACTTTTTTATGATAATTGTTTAGCGGATGGCTGTGGAAGCGGTTAGTTTTTAATGAAATAATATAGCAAGTATGAAAATATGTATTACGTCCTATAATACTCTACTGCGAATTCTACAGATATGCTTCTTTTGAATATTTTGTAATTTTGCGGTTGAAATGAGTTTTATGTGACGTAAATATTAAGAGTATATTTCATAAATAAAATTAACATATAAAAACTTAATCATAAAAATTTTTTTAAATGTTTTTGTTAGCCATCTTACTAAGAAAATTGAGTATTGATATGGTGAACTGAGAAAAGACTGAAAAATTTATGAATCTCTATGCCAAGACTTAATAACTCTGCACCGGGAATGATAAGCAGAGCTTTAAAAAATTTTTGTGATTTTTTTGTTGAACTGTGTGAGATATAAGAGTGAAAAAAAAAAGCTGATGTGTACACCACATGACTTCCTTGTATGGAATATTAAATTATGTGCACTTTTTCCTGCATTTCATTTAAACATATTGAATTGAATAAAATCTACTTCGTCGATACCGAATAACCCACAAAGAATAAATGCACTCTTTAAAATTCACTACATTTATTTACCGAGCGATACTCAGGCGCTAGGTTCACTTAATAGCGTTACATCTCATTCATTTTATAACACAGAATGCATGAAAATGATATTACCTGAAGAATTGTCTAATCTTTGCCACATCTTCTATTCAAATACTATAATAAAGCTAAAACGATGTATGAAAGAAAATAAACAAATAAAAAAGAAACAGCTTTTCATAGACGATTCAGCGCCGCTTACCTAATGCGCATGCGCTACTCGTACAAATTCTCTTCTTTCAGAGACTGACTGACGACAATATTTGCTGTTAATATGAAATACTTACTTCCTCAAATTTCTCATTCAATTAATTCTGTTTTCATTTCGCGGCTAGGCAAAAATGCATAAAAACTCTCAATATTTTCATTAAAAATTGAAAGATCATAAAACACCAAATAAATCATAAAACACCAAATACAGTTAAAACAATGAAAATTTTTTTTTTTACAATTAAAATTTCAGTTTCTACGCAAAAAGAAGCAATTCGGAGAGCAGGCAAGAAGGCAGATTTTTCGGTGCACAAAATTAAAAGTTTCCTTTTGGTCCCACTCGGCAAAAAGATACTGAAAGTGCAAAAAGAAATAATTCACAGTTCTGCTAAGTTTCAAATGTAAAAATATGGCTGCTATGGTATAAAAAAAGCCTTAAGCGCACATAAACAACTTTTAAATTGTTGATAATTCTACAAATGTTGCGTACAGATTAGCTAAAAGCATAAAAACCTTAACCGGAAGATAAGACTAACATAATTCAGTCATTTTTAAAGCAAAAATCGCCCAACTTACCAACATATAAGAATAAAAAAAACTGAGCTCAGTGAGCCGAGTATCAGAGTGGGTATATATATATTTATGTACTTTTGGTGCTGCCGTTTGCAACCAAAAAAGGGAGGTGCACATCTACTTGTTATAGCAAGCTTATATAACAAGGGGAAGGGAAAGTAATGTCGTTTTTGCGTATGTCGATATTTGATTGTCATTTGTCATCTCATTGCTTATCTCATTTTAAGGTTATTGTGGTGAGTTGCTCACTTCTAAATAATTCAATACTGAACTTTTTTTTTTTTCAAATTTGGGGTGAAATCGCCAGCAAAATACCAAAACAGCATATCCGGCAGTGTATGCTTTTTGGGTTTCTCAAGGGAAGTAACGCAACAGTTGCGACCAAAGACATTTGCGATGTTTATCCACATGCATTAGATGTTCAAAAATGCCAAAGATGGTTTTCCAAGTTCAAATCCTGTAATTTTGATCTCTCTGACTCCTATCGATCAGGGAGACCAGCATCATTAGACAACGACATGCTGAGGGCAGAGGTGGAAGCAAATCCATGTCAAACAATCGAGGAATTGTTAGACACCCTTAACAAACTTAGTCGACCATCCAAGAACATTTAAGTTAGATTGAAAAAATAAGCAGAGGAGGTGTTTGGGTACCCTTTAATTTGTCCGAAGAGAACAAAGCCAACCGATCCATCACATGCAACGTATTTCTTCAACGGCACCATACAGAAATGTTTTTTGATTACTGGAGACAAAAAATGGGTCCTATATGATAATCCAAAACTCAAAAGGCAGTTTTAATGGGGGTTACAAAGGGTTTACATCCCCAAAAGGTGCTTCTGAGTGTTTGGTGGAGTATTCGCCAAATTGTTCATTTTGAATTGTTGAAACCTGGATAAACTGTTAATGCAGGCCTTTATTGTGTACAACTGGATCGAGCGAACCAATATTTAATCGAAAAATATCTGACGTTTGTCAATAGAAAAGGTGTTATTCTGCAACACGAATGCAAGACCGCACTGTGCAAGACGAACACGGGAAAAAATTAATGATTTCGGGTGGGAGGTACTGCCTCACCCACTATACTCACCCGATATCTCACCTTCGGATTTCCATTTATTCCGATCCCTGCAACATTTTCTTAGTGGCAAAAAATTTGAAAATTTGAATGATGTCCAAAATACCATTTCGAGATATTTTACTCAAAAACCAATTAATTTTTATCGGTCTGGGATTGAAAATCTGCGCACTAGATGGCAAAAGGTTGTTAATAACGAGGATTATTTTATTATTGATTAGAAATAAATACTTGTTAAAACTTTATTCGTTTGAATTTAGTGTAAGAAAGCGACACTGCTTTCCGGTTTCCCTATTATACGAGTAGAATTTCAACGTTCTGAGGCTACTACGAAAAAATCTCTTCTGAATCCATTTTAAATTAATTTTACAATACGTTGGGGAAAGAGTCCTTTATTCTGTCCTTACGTGCACATGTCATGCAAAAACACCGTTAAATTGCATTCGATAGCGGTCAAAATGGATATTTTCGTTGAAATATGGTACCCGGAATTTTTCGTGATTACAATGCTTCTTAGAAGGAAGAAAAAAACGGTGTTTAATAATAAAGCTAATAGGACAAAAAAGAAAAAAAAGAAGCTTAGCAGGGGTGAGCACAAGAGCAGATGAGAGGCTGCGAGGTAAGAGACTTAACAACTCCTTTTGGGTGACCGTTAAATCTGAAAACTTTTCATGTTTTTTTTTTTTTTTTTGTCTTCTAGAGTATTATGTTTTCTTCTAGAGTAAATTCGTTTACCTTATTTTATTTCATTCAAAATTATGCGTAATGTTATCTGCATTCTAATCTTTTTCTATATATATATAATTTTAAGTGAGAATGTTGAAAGTTAAACTGAATAATATTTTCAGAAAAATTTCGTACTGATAAAAAATAAACATTTATTATCGAAATTGCAACTGTGGAGGAAAAGAGTATTTAAAGTATATGCTGATCAGTTCGACGTAAAATGTGTTGAACGTGAAATAATAATTCATTGGACTTCTCTCAAATAAAACTACTAAATACCTTTTATTAATACATACGCAATAAAGCATGCTTTTTGTTACTTCACAAATATTTATTGTCATAAGATGCCAGCAAAACGGAATAGTCCTTGGGAATATGATAGAAATCTCGGCTTTCTGTAGGAATGCGTGTATATACTAACAAACTCTTAATCATTCCGTAAAAATACTGCATGTAAAAGCTGTATAGTAATATTTCATTAACCGATATTGTACTCCCTTCCTAGTCTTCTGCAAATAATATATTAGAGGAATAGCTTTGTTTTGTGTATTAGTGTATGTATATTTATATAGAGGATATTAGGATCAGTTGGCGTATATAATGTTTGGTGATGAGTTTAAGTTAAACTATAATAATGTTTTATACATTTTCAATTTATTTTTGGTGAGGATATTGTTAGCTACGATAGTGTTGGGTGAGTAACAGGAAGATTTGGAATAGTTGGGAGGGGATTTAAGAAAATATACTTAATTAATAGAGATTATTTAAATGAAAAGTTACTGAGCTATCTTGAAGATATCAAGGTACTCAAAAACATTCGACGTTATCAACGTATATTGAACAAAAATATTTGCGTGATGAAGGATCTAGGATTGCATCTGTCTCTTAATGTATTTTGCGAATGCAGATGAATTATATATAAAGCTTTT